TTAGACTATTTTCTCTATTATTATTATTCTGGAATTTTCACTGTAAGTTCCACTTCGGTGCCCCTTTTCCCCGTGTTACTAGTGAGGGACGCGGATTAGAATGACACCCTAGTTGTGAGCCTCCGCCCATCCAATTATCGCGGAATGTGCCTTCAATCGAAGAAACAAGTCCTAACCTCCAGCAGCATACGATACGTGTTCAGCTCAGTATCGAGTTGAATCTTCACATCGAGCAAGTCATGGAACTCGTCCATCATACGTTGAATCTCACGGTTCAGCTCGGCGATGCGGAGCTCCTAAAAAAGAACATTATGGAGACTATATTGCTCTCCATCTGCCGCTCGCCGCTCACCTTTCCATCAAGTCTCTCCTGGTAGGATCTTCTAATAGAATCCATGTCGTCCTTTAGAGCAGCTATTTCGCGGCGAAGACCATCGATCTGAACGCAATATTCCATTACCAGCGTGAAATACAGTGAAACGAAGACTATCGTCAAGAAGCAGAATCAGGTCACTTACAACTGAATCATGGCTGCTGCCACTCTTCTCAAGTTCATGGATGCGAACACGCATACGAGCCGCATCATCGTGTGCAGCTTCGGCACGTTCACGAGCATCATTGAGCTGAATCAAACAATAACCTTGGCAAAAACAACCGTTGAAATCTAATTTAGCAACCATTTCAATCAGGGAACATTAACCAAGGAGTATCGCAGCTGGCCAGAAGTAGTCGTACTTTACCACCAAAAATTTTCCCTTGCTGTAGATTAATTCCGTTCCACGCTATACAGTCTTATTCGTTACAGTTGATGGGCGTGTCAGGCAGGCCAAACATGGTGCTCGTCCGACCAATCACTGTAGCGTGCCCGCTTCAACAACTGGTGGAAATTAGGCCGGTGCCGCAGGCCAAACCCAGCTTCCCTGACACGCCCCAGCATCCGCAGCGGACAAGGCTGAACCTCCTTTTCTGATTGATTATGCAGCAATGCTATTTCTGAGTGATACTCGACCTCTTTTTTTACACCGCTCGATGACGATTTTAGGAAAAAGTGGAGTGGGAAGGTAGGCTGTGAAAGGGTTCGGGTACCGAGGGGACCGTCATGCTGAGCAAAAAATTTTCCATAACGTGTTATTGTGCCGTGATCGTAACGCCCCTGAGTGAAGAAACTGGATTCAGAATCCTATTTTTTACCGACCTTATTTTTGTAGGACTCCTCAAAAGCAGTCTTGTTCGCTAACAGTTGCGCTTGGAAGCGAGCACGCATCTCAGCCAGCTGGTCCTGCAGCTTCGACTGGTATTCGTCGTTGATTTGCTTAGCGTATGTGGTCATGTCGACTTGACGCTTATGGCGAACTTCCTCGAGAGCCTAAAAGAAAAGATCAGCTAGAACCACAGTGGGGGGTGCAGATAGTCTAGCTCCCTTACCGACTTGTGCTGCTTTTTGAGGAACTCTAAATCTTCTGTCAGAGCCTGAATCTTTGCATTTGCAGCAGCACGGAGGACACTCTCATCTTCGAGAGTCTTCTGCAACGAAGCCAGCTGCATGCGCAGACGAGCGTTTTCCTTTTCATAATCCTGGAAGAAAAATTATACCACCTGCACAAACCATTTATATTTATAAGAGTAACTTACTCCAAGTTCCATTGAAATTTTGTCCAGCTTATTCTGCAAAGTCTTCTGTTTGGCTGAACTTGACTCCGCCAACGACAGTGCCGTTAAACGATCATCTTCCGACTAAATATTTACTTAGACTTATTGAGATTTTCGAAAGTGGTGTCTTTAGCCTCTCACCTTTTTCAGGTCTCTTTCCAATTTTCCAACTTTCGCGGCTAAACGTTCATGATCAGCCAAAGCCGAATCGCGTTCGACAGCGAACTTTGCGGCCTGCTCACGAGCATCCTCTAGAGCTTGGCGAAGGCGAGCCTGAAAAAGAGGACATCAGGTCATCTTCATATACATCAATCATGATTGTCACAACCACGAGGATGGCAGCCAATACGGGATACCCACGAAAACGGCAGCTGGATTCCCAGCTAATGATTGCCCTTCAAGCTCTTAAATATCCTCAAATAAATATTTGATATTTTCGAAGCAAGGAAAATAATTGAGCGCTAGTACACTCCATATCCAAAAGATAGAGAGGACGTGGCCGCAAACTCCATTTGAGCACGGCGAAGGATGTGTTTCCCGTAGGTTCCATTCCAAACAACGGCCATTCAGTCTTTGACTGACAAGGACATAATTACATATCATGATAGCCCCTAAAAGGACAATACCCCTAAGCCCCACCTCGAAGGGTTCCAATGATGCACGCAGCCACGCCCACTCCATCTCCAAGATAAGTGGTGTATATATACGACTACCGTCGGTAGAAAAAATTTCCACAAAACACACTTGGCAGAAAAATTCCTACAAAAATCGCCCTTGACGTTAATGTGACA